CTGTAGTTTGTTGGCCCCTGTGGAAGAATAATACTTAATGACAATGGGAATATTGTCATGATTTTAAAGGGAGGATGTAAGCACAGAATGTTGAATAAAGGAAGGAAATTTTCCGGAAAAGAATTAATCATAAAAGACTAGCAAATTGGGCTTTATTAAAATTAGGAACTTCTTTTCATCAAAAGAGATCATTAATGAGAAAAAAGACAAATCACAAGAAGGAGGATTTTATGACAGGGCTCACATGCTGACTGGATAACAAATGCTTGTGAATCAGTAAGAAGTGGACAACTTAATAGGAAGGGGGCTAACTGCATTTGTACACACACTCCACAGATGCAGACATGCAGTGCCTTCCATTTGTCTTCTGGGAAATTCAGATTAAAACTAACGTAGTTTACTTTTTATAGATACCACTGCAAACTCATCAGAATGGCTAATGTGAAAAGATAGGACAATACCAAGTATTGACAAGGATGTAGGATGGTGAGAATTCTCATACGCTTCTGATGGGAATGTAATAACTTTGAAAATCCTTTTTTAAAAAAAATTTTAATTTTTAAGATGTGGGGTACAATTCAGAATTAGGTATACCTGTGATCATCCTGCTGGTTAAATTTGGGCCTCTCTTTGGTCCCCACTTCACCTGGTTTGAGATCAGGTACCCTTACTGATGTTATGTGCCCCCCAACCTTCCCCTGGCAGTGTTCTGCTACTGCCAATTCCTTTCTTTTTATATTATGGTAAATGTTTAGGGTCCACTTACGAGTGAGAACATGTGGTACTTGAGTCTTTGTTTCTGTGATAGATCACTGTGTATGATAGACTCTAAATCCATTCAAGTTGCTGCGAAGTCCATAATTTTGTTCTTCTTTATGGCTGCATAATATTCCATAGTGTATATGTACCACATTTAAAAAAAAATCCAGTCCAGTTTTGATGGGCAGCACAGTTGGTTCCGTGTTTTTGCTGTTGTGAATAGTGCTGCAATAAACATGTGTGTACATATCTTTTTCTGTAGAGTGATTTAAGTTCCTCCAGGTATATTGCCGGAGGGTGGATTGCTGGGTTGTATGGAAGGTCAATTTCTAGTTCTTTTAGGAATCACCACACTGTTTTCCATATAAGTTGAAATAGTTTGCATTCCCACCAACAGTGTAGAAGCATCCCCTTTTCTCCAACTTTGAAAATTCTTTAGCAAAATCTTTGAGAGATATACACACTAGTAGTTCCACTTCCGGTATATACTCAACAAAAATTTTATGGTAAATGCCTGTTATGTACCATAAAAGATGAGCAGAATCCTTAAAGCAAAAACTGGCAACAACCAAATGTTTGTTAACAGTAGAATGGATTTTGTGCATGGGAGTGTTATGCAACAGTGAAAGGAGCTACTGTTACACGTTATAACATGAATTAGTTTTCCAAACAACATTGAGTGAATGCAGCCACACCAGAAAAATGACTCCACTTGTGGGAGGAGGAGGTAAGGGAAAGTGATTGGTAATTGGGAGGCTCCTGAGGAGCCTGATAAAGTGGTGGTGCTGGCTTTTACCTGAGTGGTGTTTACACTGTGTTCAGTTTGTGATAATTTGTAGAATTTGAATTTTGCATATATTTTCATATATGTCTATTATACTTCAATAATGTTTATTAAAAAATAAATTCAAATGTGTTAAAACAAATGTGTGTGACTGTAATTTATAATTCAGAAGAGATGCCACTGGAAATGCCTCAAGGAGAATAAAAAGAATGTGTGTGCTCATATAGCTGAGAAGATGTGACTGCATTCTGGCTCTGGCTTCTTCATCAGGGCCTGGCAACTCTCCGAGCTCCACTCCTCTTCGGTCAGCTTTTCTCAGTTGACCTACAGCTCGTAGTTCTCCCTCATAGTCACATGGTGGCTGTCATAACTTCACACTGTGCACATCCAATTTGGTTACAGCAACAGCAAAGAAATCTCTGCGCTTGGCTCTTATGCTTGTGTTGGGCCACCTCTCCATCCCTGAATTTGCCAGTTACAGTGACCATGGGATAGCATAACTGTTTAGCTCAGCCCAGTCACGATCTGTCCTGAAGGAAGATCTTTCTACTCAGATCACATGGGTTGAGAATAGGGAGATGTGGTTCCCAGAGCATCTTCTGGGCTCTGTTTGAACAAGGATGAGTAGATGTTTGGCAGGCAACACAATGATGTTTACTACAGACGTAGAAGCATATTAAAAGCAAAAAGTACCCTGTGGAATCTATTTACTCATTCTCACTCATTCATATGTGATTCACCCAGTGATGGCTTGTATGCCTGCCATGTGGCTGGCACACTGTGTGGGGCTGGCCCTGAGGGAGGTTTGTGTGACCAGCTCTGAGTGACCAGCTTCACTTTGGGAATCCCTCAGATCTCACTGAAGATGTGGCCATTGAAAAAACATTGGGGGGATAAGAAGGCGGTGGCCTGGTGTGGTGCTAAAATTTCTAGGGGAAAAAAAAAAACAAGTAGAAAATCTTTTTTATACAGGACACAAAAAGCACTAAGTATGAAAGAAAAATAATCAGTTGGGCTTCACAAAACTTTAATATTTCATCCCTTTGAGACATAAAAAGGCAAGCCACAGACTAGAGGAATATAGTCACAGTATGTATACTTGAAAAAAATACTTCTATATAGAATGTATCCAGAACTCATAAAATGCAATAATCAGGTGACAAACAACTTGATTAAAAGATGGGCAAAATATTTAAACAGATATTTCAGGAATGCAATGGCTACATGAATCATTAATGACTATCATTAATCACTAGGGAAATGAAATTAAAACCATACTCAACAGAATGGCTGATAATTGAACCATTCACAGTACTAAGTATTGGATAGGGTAAGGAACATCTAAAATTCTCACACATGGTTTGTCGGATTGTAATATGATATAATCTCTTTGGAAAAGGATCTAGTAGTCTGTTAGAAAACTAAACATACACCTACGTTATGAACCAGGAACTCTCCTCCTAGGCGGTTAACCATGAGAAAGTGCATGTCCACAAAAATCTTGTGCAAGACTATAACAAGCTTTATTTATTTCCCAAATTGGAAATAACCCAAATGTTTATCAGAGTCTGGCCTCTTCATGGTCTCCTTGTACTGCCTGGCCCCTTCTGGACTCAAGTCCCCTTTATGTATGGGCACTGTAACTGCCACAAGTCCCGTAAATCTATGGCTTAGCAAACTGGTATATCCATCCATAGAATGGACTACTTACTACTTGGCAAGAAAAAGGAAATAACGGCTGATTCACACAACTTGGAATCTCAGAAAACATACTGACTGAAAGAAAAGTTTGCATAAAAGTGTAGCTCACAAATGAGTCCATTTCTGGGGAGTTCTAGGACAGACAGGCATAGCCATCCATAGTGAGGAGGTGGGGAAAGACTTCAGAGAGTACTGGGAAGTGTCTTGTATCTTCCTTAGAGTAGTAGTTACACAAGCTGGATAATCTTGTCAAAAGTCATGGAACTGTTTACTTAAAATAGGTGCATTTTATTTTGTAAATTACAGTTGGCCTTTTATATCCATGAGTTCCACATCTGCAGATAGAAAATATTTGGAAAAAAATAACAATACAACAGTAAAAATTAATACAAATAAAATACAGTATAACAATTTACATTATATTATGGATCATAAATAATCTAGAGATTATTTAAAGCAGGAATCCCCAGGCCACAGATTGCTGCTGGTCTGTGGCCTGTTAGGAACCAGGCTGCACAGCAGGAGATGAGCAGCAAGCAAAACTTCATCTGTATTTACAGCCGCTCCCCATCGCTGACATTATCACCTGAGCTCCGTCTCCTGTCAGATCAGTGGCGGCATTAGATTATCTTGGGAGCATGAACCCTGTTGTGAACTGCACGTGCGAGGGATCTAGGTTGTACGCTTCTTATGAGAATCTAATGCCTAATGATCTGAGGTGGAGCTGCGGTGGTGGTGCTAGTGCTGTCTCCCATCACCCCCAGATGGGATTGTCTAGTTGCAGGCAAACAAGCTCAGGGCTCCCACTAATTCTGTATTGTGGTGAGTTGTTTAATTATTTCATTATGTATTACAATGTAATAATAATAGAAATAAAGTGCACAATAAATGCATTGTGCTTGAATCATCCTGAAACCATCTCTTTGGAAAAATTATCTTCCACAAAACCAGTCCCTGATGCCAAAAGGTTGGGTATCCTGATTTGAAGTATACAGGGGGATGGTCATAGGTCATTTGCAAATATTATACTATTTTACATAAGGGACTTGAGTATCCATGAATTTTGTTATCCTTACAGATACCAAGGGGCAACTATATATTGTCAATAATCTAATTTAAAAAATAGAAACCATAACATGTAATAAAGTTAGTCTGGCCCTGGAGTCTGGGCTCTTCATGGTCTCCTTGTACTGCCTGGCCCTTTCTGGACTCAAGTCCCCTTTATGTATGGGCACTGTAACTGCCACAAGTCCCATAAATCTTTGGAGATAGGAACAAGTTTGCGTAAGTGACAGTTTTGTACATACACATGTGAGCGTGCATATGCAGGTATGTTTACATATATGTATGTGTGTGTGCACGTGTGTGGGGTGTGTGGTTGCTGTTAGAAGACCATACAGACTTGTAAATCCTTTATGGTGTATGAAGAATTTAGGGGAGGATATTTCAATTCTTAGTCCCACTGTAGAGCCTTGAACCTGCCTGGTGCCGAGATTCCCACCTAACTCTTGTCTGGCTGTGCATGAAGTGGGCTGATGTGGGGAGGCTGCAGATGCTAGACCAGGACTGCTGTCTCATGAGCAGTGTGCTCAACTGGTTGATCTGTGTGTCTGCTTTCTTTTTTTGACAACTCACGTTCCCCTCTGTCAGGTTTTAGGAGACCAAGCTCATTTAAGATAGGAACCTTTTATTTCAACTTCTAGTAGAGGTTCCGCCAATTAGCACTGATCATAGGTATTCTTTTTTTCTCATCCAGGGTTACCTTCCTGCCAATGTAGACCGAAGACCAGCCACTCTCCAGAGAAAACAAAAAGAATATTTTGCATTTATTGAGCACTATTATGATTCTAGGAATGATGAAGTTCACCAAGACACATATAGACAGGTAGGAATGCTTTTCCTTTTTCATATGTTGTCTGATTTGGTGACAATTTGTAGGGAGAAATGTTTTATCTAACATCGTGTCCTTGATTGGTTCACAGATTTCTGTCTTCTAATAAATAAATTTGAAAACAAATAATGGCAAATTTCCTCTAATACTAATACGTTGCTTGTCTCCAGTTCCTTCTACAAAAGTAAGAAGAGTGTTTTTAACTGGAGTTAACAAAATAAATAGCCGAAATCATGGTGATCTACATCAGGGTGATGGTCAGTGTTCTTTATCTCAGTGAGCTGCTGTCTGAGAATAAAAGGGCTATTCTGGAAGGTCTGGGACCAGATATTGAAATAGATTGCATCACAATAGAGAGACTCTACTGGACTCGAGGGCGTTTGACTCTTTGGTACAGATAGATATATGAAAGTTATATCAATCAGTTTGATTTTGGGGGGACATACTTCAGTCCATAGCAAAAGGTGTAGCCAATGTATCCTTTTGCTATTTAGTTTGGTACTAATGGATATAATTATGGATTCTTAAGCAGTCAGTTGACAGATGATGTACATAATGGGAAAAATACTTAAAGTTGATTTATGATTCACAATTCATCCAGAATTTGCTGTTAGAATAATAGCTCTTTGAGGACTTAATAATTCTCACTCTTTGAAAGTGAAAGGTCAAAATGGTAGTTCTTAATTGGTGTCATTGTCTAATATACCAAAAATCAACTTTTGGTTTTTCTGAGGCATGTCAATATTTAATTATTCATTTGCATACCCTATTTATACGTGAAGGAACTTTGCCAAATTTTTCTACCCCAGATGTGGGATATCTACATCTTCTTGTCAGTCTGATATAGATCTGTTAAAGAGGTTCAAAGACAGGCCTTACCTCTGATGCATAATCAAGGATTCTTTTATTTTGAGTTGGAGTCTCACTTTGTTGCCCAGGCTGGAGTGCAGTGGCATGCTCACGGCCACCCCAGCGTCGACCCCCTGGGCTCAGGTGATCCTTCTGCCTTAGCCTTCCAAGTGGCTGCAACTACAGGTGCATGTTACCATGCCTGGCTATTTTTTTTTAATTTATTGTAGAGATGAGGTCTTGTCAAGTTGCCCAGGCTGGTCACGAACCTGTAGGCTCAGGCAATCTTCTCACTTTGGCCTCTCAAAATGCTGGGTTTACAGGCTTGAGCCACTGTGCCTGGCCAATCAATTAATTAATTGAGTTGGAATCTCACTCCATCGCCCAGACTAGAGTGCAGTGGCATGCTTATGGCCACCCCATTGTTGACCTGCTGAGTTCCAGTGATCTTTCTGCCTCAGCATTCCAAGTAGCCAGAACTGTAGGTGCATGCTATCATACCCAGCTAATTTTTTTTTTTTTTGGTTTATTGTAGAGATGAGGCGTCACCATGTTGCCCAGGCTGGTCTCGAACCCATGGGCTCAGGCAATCCTCTCACCTTGGCCTCCTAAAGTGCTGGGATTACAGGCTTGAGCCACCATGCCCAGTTGGATTCTTTAATTTAAATGGATTCTTAGAAAATGTTTTCCTCATGGGTGGGACACAGCTGAGGCTCAGGTAAGGGAAGTGACTTGCTTAAGAGTGAGGCAGTGGGAAGGCTGTGTAAGAACCCACTTCCATCTTCCTCCAGGTCACAGTTTCCTCTGTCTTTGGCCTGTGCTGCCTACACTGGAGTTGGTCTTTCTGTCTCACACCAGGGAGGCTCCCAGGCCACACTGGGATGCCACCCAGCTACTCTTGGAAACTGATTTGAGATACAGATTGCCTTTGGATTTGGTTAGGGAAATATTAGCTTATCTGGTTTATTTTTTCACTTCACTGGTTTTAGGAAATTGATAAATTTGGTATCATTTTGCACTTGCTTTCAATATATTTTAATTCAAGAAAAAGACTTTCCAATGATGACACTAGCATCTATCTGCAAGATTTACCAAGCTGTATTGTGGTATGAATTTCTTAAGGGAAAGTTAATTACAAACAGGTTGCATACATCTTTATTTAGTTACTGTGATAGGTAATAAAACGATTCCATATTATTGTGAATTCCCAAACTATTTCGACATTAATACAGATGAGAAATACCTGATGTAACATGGGATGTTTTCTCCTGTCTCCCTAATTGCTTTGATGCCAGGAAAACATCCTCTTGGAACTGTACCCCATGCTTTCTTGCCATTGCCAATTCAGGCAGAGCTGGCCTGATTTGGCGTTTGGGAACCCTGGTCTCTCCTTGCTGCTCACTCATGGGTATTTGACCTGTGAATTGACCTTGACCCACTCTCTGACTCAAGGTGTGCAACACCCCCCCTTTCCATTCCGTACAGATGGAAGCAGCAAGAGGATAGTGGCCTTGGCATGTTCCCTTATTGTCAATTCTTTTGTCAATTCTTCATTTGATTTTTAAGTGCTCACTCTTTTGCTGAAGGTATCATATCATATCAAAGCCACATGGGAGTTGGTCAGAGTGAAAGATTCATCTGGTGTGTCTTTCCCTCTTAGGTCACCTCTGCAGACCACTGTGGCCTTTTCCTACCTGCCCATTCTGTGATGGGGACAGGTGGTGGGAGGGAAGGGCACACAGAGCCCCATTCACCCAGCTTTGTAGAGTACCCACCTCTCCAAGATTGGAGCTTCTCCTCTTGATGATGGGGATGACAATAGGGGCTGGGATCTGATGTGATCTCTCCTGACTGCTTCATAAACATGTGATGGGCAACTCATGTAAAGTAGGCTGTGCTGACCCTGGGCATGCCGAGGTGAATCAGACATGGTTCCTGTCTTGCAGGAGCTTATGGTGCAGATGGGTTTCTACACCAGTGTTAATTGTATGGGAGCAGTGCTCTGAAAATAGCCTACAGGATGCCCTGGTGATAGACCTGGGGGCCCTTGCCCCTGCCTGAGCTTGGACTCCTGCATGTGATTGGCTGGAGTTCTTGGGCCCCACCTGTCTGGATAGAGCAACACCTATGCTGTTACCTTCTCTTCCTCCTGCTCCTCCCACATGCTCCTTTGGCCCACATTACAGATGCACGTGTGTCTTAGCTTATTCCATTTGGCTGTTGACCTACAATCTCACTTGATCTTCACCAATAACCTTTTGAGGTATTCAGAGTAGGCATTTTGTAGATTAGGAAGCCAAACAGAGCCCAAGTGATTTACCCAAGGCCACAGTGTAGTAAGTGGCAGAATGAGGTTGTCCCAGTGTCCTGGATGTTAGAATCCTCTTTGAGCATGTATAAGGATGGGATAAAATGAGACAAAATCATAGTGTCACTCTTGGCATTAAAATGTGCATGTCTTCCCTCAACCTGTTTGGTCTTGTTGTCCTGGATATACAAGAGTGACGGTATTGTGGGCTGGTGGGGGATGTTCACATGGGATGTTGGCAGCCAGTCTGTGATGCCAGCTCAAGCTCGGATCGATCTTGTTTGGTTGCTTTCTTGAACCCACAAGTGTTCTCCTCTGCAGTGTTGGGACTTTATTATGACCATCATGTCAGATGGTGACCAGGCAGAAATCAAAAGCTTTCAAATGCTTTCTTAGAAAAGTGTTCTAGATTCCCCAAGGACTTTGTGAAGTGGAGAAATGTGTGGCCTGTGTCCAAGAAGAAGCTGTCACAGCTGAAAACTTGTACACTATTGATGTGCTTGAATTGCTCTCTGTGTCAGAGGCTGAAAATCAATGTTTACTAATTGCTATGGATTATGTTACTAAATAGCTGAGGGCCTGCTCTGTGCCTAATCATGCAGCAACTGCTGCTTGGTTGGGAAAGTATCAAACAAGCCCTTTGTCCTAGGCCTGGGTGAATCTGTTCAGATGGAACTTGCTTTTGGGTACCTCCTCCAGGGGAGAACTTGGTAACATAGAGAATTAATATCCTCAGAGGGAGAGAAGATGAAGAGGCAAAGTAAGGTTGTCATTAAGGTTTGCTGTTTCAATCATAATGCTTGTAATGATTTAAATTAATTAAAATAACTGTATGTTTCTCCTATGGCTCCAGATCCACATAGACATCCCTCGGATGAGCCCCGAAGCACTGATACTTCAACCCAAGGTGACAGAGGTAAGAGTTGTAACTTGGACATTCCTGCAAGGGAGTTTCCCTCTTTGGGAGTGACCAGTGCCCACTGTACTAACCAGAAAGTAGGTGCAGTGGAGGGGCTTCACCCAGAAACAAGGTTGGTATGTCCAGCTTCTGGTGCACTTGGATGTTTGGGCACAATTTCTGACAGGAATCGCAATTTGTTTTTTTAATTTTTGTGTGTGTAGTATTGATACATACAAAAGAATGCATATGTACTCATTACCCAGACCAGATTTAGGAAGTAGAACTGGAGTAGTGCTGACTAACTGTGAACTTGAACTCCAGCTTGACCCATAGCGCTATAGCTGCTTCTGTTTTCCTCCCCTCAGAACCCCCTTCCGCAGGAGAAAATGACCTCTTTCCTGACTTTTGTGTTTATGAGTCTTCATAACTTTCACAAGTCATGTAATACCAAGAATATAACATTTAATTTGGCATCTTTTGGAACTGTTTCACTCTTTGTGTAGTCTAGTCTCTGCAGCTTGTTTTTTCCTGGCCTCATTATTTCTCAAGATTCAGCTAATCTATTGTATCTATTTGTATAGTAGTTTATTAATTAGACATTCTACACACTCTCTTTAGCTTTTTTCTTGTCAATGGACATTTGGACTGTTTCTAACGTTATGCGCTTAGGAAGCATTTTGCCTGGAGCCTCCATGTACATTTATGCAGGTGCCCACAGGCAAGAATTTCTCTAAGGCATTACCAAGAAGTAGTTATTGCATAGTTGGGTGTGTATGTGTCTGTTAAAATTTCAAGATAATATGAACCTGATTCCCAGAGGACTTCTACTAATGAAAGTCTCACCTGCATAGTATTAGAATTCCATCCTGGTACTTCACATCCTTGCTAATTCTTGATATTGTCAGACTCTATAGTTTTTGTTTCTTTGATGGATATTCTTCCTGTGCTCCTATTTTTCATTTCTCTGGTTACTAATGGAGTTGAACATTTCGTTAAATATTTGTGGATGTCTTCTCTGTCCCCTCTTTTAGAAAATGCTTGTTCTTGCCTTTTACCCATTTTTATATTGGATTTTTGATCTAATTTTTTATTGGTTGTTGATCTTTATATGGTAATGATTCTCATTCTTTGTCATTTTGTATGTTGCAAATATCATCTCCCACTCTGTGGCTGTTTTCTCCCCTTGCTTCTTGGTGGTAGTTGATGATCAGAAGTCCTTAGTTTTAGTGTGAAGTTCAACTTATATCAGTCTTTTATGGTTAGTATGAGTATGCTTTACTTAAGGAGTATTTTTCTGCACATACATCACGAAGGTATTTGCCCTTATTTTCACCTAAAGCTTTTGCTTTTTCTACATCTCTGTTCAGTTCATCTACAGTTGATGGCTGTGTATGATGTGAGGTGGGAATCAGCTTAATTTTCTCCTTTGATGATCATTCCTAACACTGTTTATAGGCTCCTGCTTGTCTCCCAATGCTTGCAATGTCACTTCTTTTTATATCATTGTCACATTCACATAGATCTGTTTTGTCCCTGTATTTAGGTTGTCTTCCTTTCATATCACACCCTGCTGCTAACTAATTTAGCTTTATAATGTCCTAATGTTAGGTAGGGGGAGTTCATATTTAACTTCTTATTCCTCTTCAAAATTATTGGGTGGTCTTACTCTTTCTTCTTCCACATAAGTCTCAGAATCATTTTGCCAAGGTCTTTTCATTTGTTTTTTGTTTTTAATGCCTGTTTGATTTCTGATTGAAATTGCATAGATTCTAAATTCAGTTTCGGAGAATTGTCACCTTTATGAAATTTAATATTCATTTTCATGAACATACTAGTTCCTCATGATTAAGGCCATTATAAATGTTTTTTAGTGAAGTTTAAAATTTTTCTCCATAAAGGGTTTTGTATGTTTTATTAGATTGGTTCTTAGTTACCATATTTTTTCTTTCACGTGGTCTTTCTTTAAAGTTAAATGTTCTTATTGTTTGAAATATTTTGTTTTGCATCTTGATTGCTTCAGTAAATGTACTTTTAAACTTTGACATCTCTTGTCTGTGCGGTAAATCTGTTAAAAAAAACATCCAGAATCGTTAAAGCAAAAGTGCTTATAGATTGTAAAACACAAAAAGAGAAAATTAATCTTCAACAGAAGTAGTCATTTTGAGATACTTCTTTTTGATTGTCTTTTTCAATAGTTGTGCTTATTGTATCTGGAAAACGAGATATACTGCATTAAAACCTCCTCCTTGCTAATTTTTTAAAAATGGAAAATAACCTGCTGCAAGACTTTTAGTTTATTCTTATTCAAATTTTCCTATCACTTGCCACATTCCTTGTAGAACTGACTTTTCAGTCCTTTTGATCTCAGAGTATGGCTTCTAAGTCACTGCTACTCTGTGTTAGTTGGTTCTCAATGCCTTTGTGAACCTTGATCCATTGTTTGGAATGCCTTCCCGGGCTATGGGTCTCCTTCACTTCCTGCATGCTCCTTCTGAAGGTGCTGATGCTCCCCAGATCCTGGCTCAGCAGGGCTCAGCAGGTCTCAGCAGGTTGAGTCAGCCTGGAGGGCACATGGGCTTCTGGGGAGGGGCAGGGTCCTGCAGGCTGGCAGAGTGATGAGTGGGTAACTTGAGCACAGCCTTGTATGTGTGGGGGAAGTTAAATGATGAGCAAGGGACTTTAGGAAAATATTGAAGTATTTGACTTGTATTGTCTACTAGGCAAAATCAAGTTATGGTTTCTGGCATTATAGAGGTGTTGAGGTTAGATTTAGATGTATCTGCAAATGACGGCAAATCCATCATTACGGTGGCTTCACAGGATGGTAATTTATTACTGTCTCTGGTAATAGTTCATTGTCAGAGAATTGGTTACTTTACTGTGCTTGACTTTAACTTTATGGTCCAAGGTGGCTGCTGTAGTGCTCTTCATCATGTTTGCATTTCACTGACAGGGATAGTAAGATATGGGTAGAGAAGAAGATATGGGTAAAGAAGTCATAGAAGTTGCTCATAGTACTTCTGCTTGTATGTTACTAAGTGTAACTTAATTTGTATCCTACTAACTTAACTTAGTGATGTGGTTGTATGTAGCTGGATGGAAACCAGGAAAATGTAACTTTGATTTTAGTTGGTTATGTGCTCCATTAAAGTCTGGGCTTCTAACTACTCAGGAAGGTGGTTTTCTGCCATAAGCATTTTTCCCCATCTAGCTATACATTCACTTTGTCATTCAACAGGTAATGGCCAGGTCTGCTGTGGTTGGTTTCCTCCCTCCCTTCCTCTTTCTTCCCTCCCTTTCTCCTCCTCTCCCTCCTTTCATCTCTATTGAGGTCTAATTTACATACAACAGAACTTGTTCATTTTAAATATGCAGTTGGAAGCGTTTTGATACCTGCATATAGGAGTGTAACAACCACCTGAATCTCAATATAGAATATTTCCATTATCTTGTGCAGTACATGGTCTTTTGCTGTCAATCTCCCCTCCTCACTCCCCCGCCTCTGATAACTACTGATCTGCTTTCTGTTCAAACTGTACACTTGTGTGTGTGACTTTTTAAACTTAGCATAATGCTTTTGTGATTCATCCATGTAGTTGCATGTATTGTAGTTTGTTACTTTTCTTTTTATTACTGACTAGTATTCCAGTATGGATATACCACAGTGTGTCTAGTGAATGGACATTTGGGTTCTTTCCAATTTTTTGTATTACAAAGTAAATTTTCTATAAATCTTCATATATAAATCTTAATGAGGATATTTGTTTCTCTCCCCCCTGGTAGGTACCTAGGAGTGGAGTTGCTGGGTTATGTGGTAAATATAAATATATGCTGGGTTATATATTTAGCTTTGTAAGAAACTGCCAAACTATTTTATAAAGTGGCTATAACCAATTTGC